TGTATGTGGGGGGCTGTATGTGGGGGGTTGTATGTGGGGGGCTGTATGTGGGGGGTTGTATGTGGGGGGCTGTGTGTGGGGGGTTGTAGCAGCAAACAGGTCAAAAACATGAAGTAAACTGTAACAGTTTTACCTGCAGTTATCAGGGGATTTGTAGTTTCATCATGACCAGTAACAAACTCAGCTCTTCATGAAGACAGATCGAGTCAAACTCTGATTACGACTTTTAACTTTATTTATTTATGCAGCCAACGGTTCTCAGGAATGATCAAAAGTAGAAAGAATTGAGACCTGACAGAATTAAATTTAAGACCTTGGATGAAAATCTGGGCGTTTTAAAGTCTTTTTTAGGCCTAAAATTTTCATTTTCAAATTTTTGACTTTTTTAGACCTTTTAAGACCCGGCATGAACCCTAGTTAAAAATGTAAGTGTATTTAATTTAGTTATAATGTAAATACAATAAAAATTAAACTAAGATTTATAATAATTATCATTCTGATCCATACATTAGTAATGTGTGACTGGGCCTCGTGTCTCTTTCTGCTCAATAAATTGGGCCCTGAGGTCAGAAAGGTTAAGAACCACTGGTTTAGATCACACACCCGATCAATCCTTCCTCCACGGGACGGCCTGGGGATATCACCACGGCCACGACCTCCCCGACCACCTCGTGGTCCACCACGTCCACGGCCTGGACGGCCCAGGTCTCCAAAGTTGATCTCCAACTGGGAAGTGATGTCATTGGCTGGCTTCCGGAAGTGATGATCCTCTTCTCCCTGAATTATAAAAATGGAAATTTTCCATCAGATCTCGTGTTTTCAGACTTTAACAATCTGTTGCATTTATGGTTCCAGCCTGTACCTTGGGCTCCTCAACATCATCGGTCAGATCACCTCTTTTGTCCTGTTGGAAAAGTTGATAATATGGGACATCAAAGGTACATTATTAACAGCATACTGAACATTTAAACATGTAAATACTACACACATTAGAGCAGGGGTCACCAGTACGGTGCCCGCAGATCGACTGACCGTTAGAGAAGCAGCGCTCTAAATGCTAAACAAATGGAACAAAAGTCACCCGTGTGCTCTTTGCAACTTTTATTAACAAAACACTTTTCAAAGGATGTCAACAAAAGCTGCTGTTAAAGACACATCTCCGGTTAAACCCTGTTAAACACAAACTCAACAAGTTCTCTCTCAGAGTCCCTCTGTCCTCACAGACACACACTGAACCCCACCCCCAACCCCCACTCTTCAGAGAATTAACCCTTACAGCACAGATATTCACTTTGTTTACCTCTGTGTCGAGGGGAAAAGAGCATTAAAACGTAGGAAAACAAATTATTTTCACAATGATTGGGAGAAATTGTTTTCTGTACTTGTTTTTTACAGAACTGATATTTTGTATCTACAAGAGTTAGTAAAATGGAAAGTAGAAAACGCCAAGAGTTCAATGTTTTACTGGTAAAAGTTTATTTTAAAAAATGGAGAATTATTTACCATTTTCTTAAAGAAATAGACACTTTTTTAAACAGGTATATTTTAAATAAATGTTACAAACGTGTTCATGCCTAAAAGCTGTCAAATATTTTTATCACTTTATTTTTTACATTTAAAAATTATAAATGTTATTAATAGGGATTAAATAAAAATGTTTTATGTTGAAATATGTGTTTTCTGCTTTACAAACATCCATCCATTTTGTCCTCCTCGTTCCTAATCAGGGTCAGGGTGGAGCTGGAGCCTCTCTCACATCTCAGACCATCACAGGAACACACAACTATCCACACTCCAGTCCCACTGAAGAGCTCAAAAAGGCTTTCAAACTGGGAACTCTGGAATCCGATCCCCTCGCTGCTTCACAAAGTTTAAATTACTTATTAATTATTAATAATAATTTATCATATCTACCACAGTAATTTATGATTATCATGAGGACTCCAACAGTGAGATTTAATCAGGGAGTCAAATATTTAAATGTATAAATAAATAAAGGTTTGTATATTGTAATGCATAGGGCTGTGTATTGGCAAGAATTTGGCGATAAGATACATACCATGACAGAGGGGTCACGATACGGTATATCCCGATATAT